CATTACCAGTCCCTCCCTGGCTTATGTAATCGCTTCAATCCACTAAAGAATTAGAACTGCTTTCTTTCCCCGGCTAACAGGCATCAAACAAGTGTAGACACAATCAAGGCCGGTTTCTTTCCTTGGCTAACAGGCTTGGCCTCTTGCTGGTTTTCACCCGTAGTAATTTAGAAATTGGAAAACTTCAATTGGGAGGGTTTTTTCAATCTGAGGCCTTACAAAAGAGTATGCACCTGACCAAGTGTGATGTTCCTGAAATAGCCTACAGTGCTTTCATTGTCTGGCATTAAGATGCAGCAACCAGCTGCACACCTTAATAACACTGCCCCAAAAAGATATAAATTGAGTCAGCTAAGCCACTGATGTAGTGGCAAATGACCTAGGTTGCTTAAGTCCTTGTTGACATCAAATCCTGGGATCAAACATTGGACAACCCTCCTACCCCTGAGCCAAAAAATTATGTGTATACATATATATATGAATTCAAATAAATATTGAAGCTAATATTCACCAACCATGAAGCAGGCTCTCCAGCAGCACCATCAACACCCTGAGAAGTTTCAACAGGCCTTGCAGAATTAATTTCCAAATTAGTGACATTAGAGGGTTTCAATACTTGTCCAAAACTAGCATCAAAGCTTCCAAAAGTTAAGCAATTTTTCAATGCTTCAGAAACTTGGAAGTGGGTTGGGAAAGTAACATGTTGACCATTGCAGAAATTTGAACTGGCAAGCAATTGATAACTTACTTTACCAGCGACGGTTGTAACCTCAGAAGCGACGACTGTTTTAAAACAAGAGCAAAGTCAAATAGACAATTAAAAAAAGAGCACCTAAAGGCACAGTAAGACAACTTTTATGTCAATATCTAAGCAAAGATGCTTCAAAAGCAGGGAAAGTAATAAAACAATATATGAATAAATTAGCAACATTAACCACCAATGCTTCAAAAAAAGGTTCTCTGACAACTGTTTGCTCTGAAATATTTTCTGTCTTGTTTACAGGTAAGCCACCTTTAGTTTCACTAATTATACCACCAATGGATGATCGGGGTCCACGTCCATGACTGGAGTTCCCATTTGGTAAAGTAGGAGTACCATTGGGTATGGCAGTCGATGTTCTGTGAAAGGAGAAATATTCTATATAAGATGTAGAAGTATTCCCTAGAATTAACAAATTAACAAGGACATAAAACTCATGCTAAGATACAAAAAACTGTCATTATGCATATTTACTTTTTCATGTGAGATGATGCATTATTTTTCACTTTCTGAGATACTTGGGAAGGCATATAACCTCCATCTGCAGAATGATTAACCCCATTCTCTCTCCTAGGAAATGAATTCCTTCCACCTCCAACATCTTAAGAGAACAAAACTTGTCACATTAGCAACTTACAAATAAACAAATATGTTAAATTCATAAATTGATGTATAAATTGAGGAGGTAAAAGGAACCAATACCTTTACCAGATGATGAATAATAGCTCCGTCGACTGCCCTGGCCCCTTCGTTCTTGTGTACCAGAGGTCTGCATGAGGAAGAATTCAGTTACAATTCACAATTTACCAAGCTAACTAAAGCAAAATTCAACCAAAAGAAAAAAAATCAAGGAAAAGAAGACTTGCCTCCTTTTTCTTGTCACGCTTTCTTTTCACATCATGAAATGTAAACAATGGGACAGTCATACTTTCAAAAAGTAAACTGTAAGATACATTAAGCAGAGACAATATGGGCTAAATGAGATAAGAATACCCAAAAATGATAAGAAAAAGACTAGAGAGAAGCTAATCACAGTATGTCAATTCAGAAGGTAGAAAGCTACCTTCGATAGAAACAATAAGAATTTGTACCTATGTAAAATGGAAATTTTGAATTTTAGAATATTGATTTGTTAACTAGAATAAAATTATGATTTTATTATGATGGTAAAATTATAAAAAATAACTATTGAAACATAAAAAATATTAATTAAAGAGGCGGGCTGCTATAGCTGATAAATCAAAACAAAAGGCACAGGTTATTGAAAGGATTGAATTTCCCAACAAACAAAGAACATCCATAATCAAAGAAAAAGACCTAACAAACCATTTTACTTTAATAAAAACATAAAAACTAGCCAAAACCAACTTTCTTCATTAGCCAACACAAAACACGATATCAACAACTCAAACAATGCACAATTCATTTTTCCATTAGTCAAAACATAAGAGAGGATGAAAACGCCACCTCTCAAAAATCCCAATTTTCTAACGCTTTTCAACGCAAAATTTCGTACAAAAACAAATAGCTCATTAACCCAGCAAACACGTGGGAACCGAGAAACCCGAAAAGGACATCGAAAGCATCAAAAGAGCAGGTAAATAAGTCCATAAATAAGCATTTAAATCTTGATTCGTTTTACCCATGTAAATAAGCTTTTGGGCAGTTTCATTGGGATCCATAAAACAATCTTTGAGGATTGCATAGATTTCTTCATCGCTGTGTCGTTTCCCTGTGATCTCCCTTATGCTTTGGATCGTTTTCTTTGCATTGACGGGGATCGAAACTCTTGACCCGTCCCGCCGCCACCTTGGCTGCTCATGGTAGTAGAGAAAGAAAAGGAAGTAAGAAGCGAAGAAACAATGAGAGAATTGAAAGTCTTTATGCAATGACATTTACATTTATATTTATCCGATAAAACATTTATATTTTATATTTATAATAACTAGGGCATTAATACGAAAAGATAAAACTAACTAAATAATCAGTTTACATACTGTATATTTAATGTGAATTTTTGTTAATTTATTATAATAATATTATTTATTTTTATATAAATAATATTTAAACATCATTATTTATCTAAACAATATTTTTTGACAACGACTTGCGTGAAAGCATTTTTAAAAAAGCTCATCTTAAAGGGTGTGTCTTTGCTTATATGCTGGACATACGAGTGGTTTCTTCAACGCTGATATCATTCATGACTAAAATAAAAATAAATAAAAACTTTAAATCAAAATATAAATGATAGCGACGTACGTGTATAGGTGATATCTTCAATTACGAAGCCAGAGACACTCACTCCAAAATAAGCCTTTTGAAAATTGCTTCCACGTAAATGTGTCTTTATCTAAATAGTGTTGTATTAGTAAATAATATTGTTTGGATACCATTTTAATAAAAGAATTTTAAAATATGTTATTTTAATAAAATTACCGTAAATTTTAGTTTACATAAATGAATCGATTATAATAATAATAACATGTGTATTATATAAGATTTACGTGTTTAAATTCTAAAATCTAAAATTTAATGAAATTTTTTAAAAAAAATCAACTAATTATTTTACATAGTTTCAGTGGCGGATCTAGAAATTTAAAAATGGGATTTGAAATTTTAATTTTCTTTTCTTAAAAATAATGGGTATGTAAAAATTGTAATTTTTTTTCCTTAACGCATTAAACTAAATTTAACCAATTTTCTAAAATAATAGGGATACACTTGGCCCCTATGGGGGCGTAGTACATCCGCCGCTGCATAGTTTATGTATCCTACAAAAAGTTACTATGATTAATTAATTAATTAATTTTCAAAATTATAATTTTTTAGTTGTGTAAAAATTGTCTTATCTTCATTCATTTCTTTAAGCCTCTTGCGGGGTCCATTGCAACAACAAAACCTAACAACTTCGAGTGAATAATATATTATATTTCATCAATTGTAGTTGACGTACAAAATCTTCATGCAGCTTGCAAGGGCTCTATAGCCGAATCTTTCCATCATCGAGTTTTGCCGCTCAAACTGAGAACCAATCCACCATTGTCAAAAATCGGATCTTCCCATTTGAACCTCATCGCAAATCTTAATTTTTTAAATCCAAACTTCACCAAATGATCATATCCACCCAACTACCCTAATCAGATATAATTTTTAAATACAACTGAATTAGCTCATAATCAAAAGATGAAATCATAATTCATTCTCGATTACCTTGCATTCTCAATGTTTGGAGATTTTTTTTAAGAAAATCACTATTACAAATTAAATTGTTTCGAATAGAAGGACAATATACTTGAAAATTAAATTCATATGATGAGATATAATAAAAGTAGTTAACAATTATAAAATAAGTGGTTAGAAATTTTCAGATGACGCTCCTCTTCTTCCTTAGATTGTGTGTTCAATACACGTTATAAAGTAAAATTTTTGTTCTCTTACCTTAATAAGGAATTATTAAAAAAAAGTACGAGAAACAAAATTAGACTCATTTTATAATTTAGAAAACCTAGAAATGACTTTAAGAGAAAATAAATTCATAGTAGAAAAAGAGAGGGGGACAGTGAATTTTTTGAGGATGTAGTTAGTCGAAGAAATTACTGTTACTAACAGAAATAACAGCAGAATTAGAAGAAGCCATCAATGATAAAAAAGAAAAATCATATTGAAAATAAAGATTTTTGTATAAAGAAATGCATTGAAATCTGTGAGATATTTTCTTTAAAAAAATAATTAAAACAATGATTAAATTGATAAATATTTTAAGGTGAATGACTTATTTTATGGATTATTTAAAATTCTATTCGAATTGATAAACGTATAAAATCAAAATTATATATGTTTTTAATTTAATTAAAAATCATATAAATATTTATTTATTATTTAACTATCATTTACTTAATTAATAAATTTATACTATAATGCTATTATTTTAACTGATTTTATTTTTTAATGATCAGAACATATCATAATGTAATGAATAGATAATTAGTTTCCCCTTATAAACTATATTTTAATATTTTATTCAAAATTGGTAATTTAGACAAAAGCATGTAAATTGATACCTTAAACAATCGAGCCGACAAGACAACAGCATTTTGTCGTGTCGATATCTATGATATAGCTTACGTGGCAGGCAGATAAGCCGGTCGGTAGGATATATTAGTCCATTAATTTTTATTCGAAGGCAAAATAGTCATTCCAAGAAAAGAACCGGCTTTATTTATTCTTCTTCACGTTCTCTTGTTGAATAGAAAACCTAATCCCTTTCGTTTTGCCCTCAATTGTTATTGATACTTATTTTATCGAGCAATAAACAGAGCGAATTAACTCCATGGGTTCCAAATCCAAGAGCGATAACCCCCTCAGTGGAGATGGAGCTAGCCCCGGGTTAGTATTTATTCTTTTCCCCTTTGTACTCAATTCAAAATTTCCCCTTTAGATCCTCAGAAAAAAAGAAGGATAAATTCTTTATGCCTTGTTCAATTCGTGCGTTTTTTAGCTATCCAATTTGTCTGGAAAATTTCTTCAAGTTGAATTTTGTTTCTTAATGCAGGAAGATATTTATCGGCGGATTGGCCAAAGATACTACTTTTCGTGAGCCTTTATATTTAGTTTTGCTTTTATTATTTTGTTCTCAGATTTTTTTCTTTGAAGTAAAGAAAAAAAATCAAAATTTGTGCTAGCAACGAATTAGAAAAAGCACTAAATTGGATTTAGTTTTGTTGATTATTAGATTTTATTTGTTATTAGTTTAAGGATGAAGTTATTTACTTGATGACTTTAGGTTTTATTTTAAATGTATATTCAGCTCAATTTAATAAGCACTTTGGAAAGTATGGGGAGATAATCGATTCTGTAATTATGAAAGACCGATACACAGGCCAGCCTCGAGGTTTTGGATTTATTACATATGCTGATCCATCTGTTGTGGACAAGGTCATTGAGGAAGATCATATCATCAACGGAAAGCAGGTAAATTATATCTTTAAATTACCAAAGACTAGGTTAAGATAGATTCAATATTTCATTGTCTGGAGAATGCTATAACCGTGGGTCAAATCAATATAGGGTCAAAAACAATGAAATTTGTAGCCTAATTAGGATGGCGGTAAAAGTTGTGGTCAATATAACTACGATTACTTATAGATATATTTGTATCAGTAAGTATTATTTAAACAAACTAAGGATGATGCTCACAAAATCAACTTTAAGCAGGTTGAGATAAAGAGGACAATTCCTAAAGGCTCTAGTCAGTCAAAGGATTTTAAGACAAAAAAGATATTTGTTGGTGGTATACCATCCTCAACCACAGAAGGTATGATTGCCAAGTTAGGTGTTTTGATTTTAGTTGTAGCGTGATTATGGAAGTGTGTTCAATGTTAATTGTTGTTTTTGTGGTGCTTTTTTTATTCAGTTGAATTTAGGAATTTCTTCTCCAAGTATGGAAATGTGATCGAGCACCAGATTATCCGTGATCATGCAACCAATAGGTCTCGTGGATTTGGCTTTATAATTTTTGAAAGTGAAGAGGTTGTAGATGATATGTTATCAAAAGGAAATATGATTGATATGGCAGGTACCCAGGTAAGCTTAGTGAAATTGGACATATCTTCCGAGGAATCGGCATGTAAAAGGTGTTTGGTGGGATTTGCATAATTGCATTCTTCATTTGTTGTATTAATGTAGATATTAATAGCCGTCTTGTTAGTTTGGTTAATCATCTCTTCATAATCACATAATACCCCTGTGGTCTGTGTCAAATTATAGGTGGAAATTGATATAGGTTTAGATCTCCCTCGGCAATGGCCTATCAATTTAGTTTACATGCAGCCAAATCTAGGTTAACTGAATTGCTTTATTGTAGGTGGAGATCAAGAAAGCTGAACCAAAGAAATCCTCAAACCCACCACCTGCTCCTTCATATGGTAGCAATTCTAGGGGCCGTTCTTACGATGATGGTTTTGGTGGATATAGTGGGTCATATGGGGGTTTTGATGGAGGGTTTGGTCCTGGTCCTTATAGAACACACGGGAGTCTTGGTGGTAGACTTGGTGGTGGTTATGGTTATGGTAGCGGTGGTGGTGAATTTGGTGGAGGTTATGGCGGTTTTGGAGGGAGTAGCTTAGGAGGCTACCGAGGTGAATCTTCCCTTGGTTATTCTGGCCGCTTTGGTTACGTTGGTAGTTTTGGTGGGGGTTATGGTGGAAGTGGTGTAGGTGGCTATGGTCGAGGAGCTGATGGTTATGGTGGTTATGCAGGTTCAGGTTATGGTGGTGGTTATGAATCTGGTCCTGGTGCTAGTTATGGAGCAGGTGGGATTTATGGAAGGGGGGGCTATAGTAGCAGTAGTCGATACCATCCATATGCAAGATAGAATGGAGACGTTGTGATGAAGTTGCTTAATGTTTGCCATAGAAGTTCCATTCAGGCTTTAGATCTGCACTGTGCATCACTAGGCACTTTCTCACAAGTACTAGAAGCTTCTACTTATAGCATGTGGGAAAGGCTTTCAAGATCAGAGGACATATCATGTTAGACTATTGTTCTATTGTACGGTTTAGAAAACCTTCATATACGTGTGTGATTGCCTTGTTCTAGTCTATTGTTATTTGATTTATTATGTAGACTATAGCAAGATATTCTGGACTTCTCTAGTTAGATATTTTTTTCCCCTTAGTTCTGTTTTAGCTTCTTATCTACCAATGTTAAATCTTTAGTTTAGTCTATCTTTTTTTTAGTACTCGTCTAGATTGCTGCAAATGTCAACTTATCAGGGATTAATGCTGTCGAGGGAAACAAGCTAGATTTGCAACTTTCGGTGCTAGATTATTTTAGTTAGTTTGACTTAGTCTATCTTTTTTTTAGTACTCGTCTAGATTGCTGCAAATGTCAACTTATCAGGGATTAATGCTGTCGAGGGAAACAAGCTAGATTTGCAACTTTCGGTGCTAGATTATTTTAGTTAGTTTGATTTTTCAGTCACTTAACTTGCTACTACTATTATAGGATCAAAATAGGGATGGTTGGAAAGTGTGAGGATCTTGTAGGGACATTGATCCAATCCTGTCAGCCGTATTCCTAATGTTCTTCTGAGATATCATTAGGAAGGAACATTTTACTACTTGCTTTAATTTATGCTTCTTTTGGGTTTTTTAGTTGTAATTGCTCTTGTTTGGTGATGAAGATTGTTCTTTGGTGGTTATGTTTTTTATTGATGAAATAGCGAAGTGCTAATCTATGAAACTTGTTTTTTTAATCTCATCAAGTCGAAGAGGAAGAGAGAGAGCTTGTTGGTTTGTACCTTCCCTTTTTTAACCTTTAACTGTTGTTGTACCATGAACATCTCGTATTTAATGAAAAAAGAACTTGTTGCCTTACTATTTTGGAATACGATTGATAATGATTAGGATGTTAATGCCTAAGGTTTGCTATCTCATAATATTATGCATATTGATGGCTGGAAAAAACCCCTACTTCTGAAATGTGTTGACCATTGTTATTCCGTTACCTGTGTATGCATATTGCATCAAAGGTACCTGTAGCCTGAAAGACTTGGTCACCATAAAAGTATAGAGTCGTGTTCCTCTTATCTCAAGTGTCCTTTTGCCGACAAAAGCATTTTTGTCCAATTGCTTGAAACTCCCTTGAAACCCCAGCTTGTAATTCTCCCGATCGCCGTGACAATGCGTTCTATACGTGCCAAAGTTTGAGTGCCTGGCCATTACATAATGAGTTTAATTATGTCATGTTATGAAAGTATTGTTTAACCTTGCTAATGGATAGGGATAGTCATTACATAGTGAGATAATACATGCTTCATGCATGCATGTTCGAACTCAATAGTTCTGTGCCAATCAATAAATTACTATTAGATTATATAACTGGATTCACAACATTATAACATCAATGATAGTAATTGCAATGGTACCGAAGCTTAATAGGAATTAACCTAATATTAGGATACGTTTGAATGGAATTGTCAAAATATGAGATTACACGCAATCGTTCTGATTCTATTATTATTAATTCTGTCTGTCTATGTTAATTTTAGGTTTTGGGTTTTACTTTTGGTTTTATTATATTTTAGTTTTCAGATGAATTTGTTTAATTGGTTTTAAGAAACGTTTTATGTACTTTAATGCCATCTTTATTACTAATAATATATTTCAATCGGCCTCTTATAAGAAAATGGATATTTTTATCTTGTTAAGAGGAGGATCATTCTTCAGAATCTCTTTTTATGTTTTATAGATGTTTACTTTAATTAAATGTTTTTGCAGTGACTAGTTTCCTTATTATCCTTTTAGAATTGTATTCTTACATTTTTATTATATTTACAACATTTTAAATAACATTTACAATTTTTTTTACTAATATATAACTTTTAAATGTTTTATATTTTCAAATAATTTTATGATGTCCAAACATTAAATATTTTAATCATATTTTAATATTTTACATTTTTATGGTATTTAAGTTTTTTTTATTCAAACTACATCAATATTAGTGAAGTGACAAAATAATTGATGTGATTGTAATAGTTTTCTGTTTTCAATTGATTCAATTTGAACTTTTTAGAAGTTCAATGATAAAAGTAAAAAATCAACAATTAATGTAATTTTTTAGATAATTCACATACGAGAAAAGTCATTATGTTAATTTTCAAATAATTTATATAGATAATCTTACGTTATTTCGATTTCAATATTGTAAAACCAAGCAACTAAACCACAGTAATAATTCAAACCGACCATCCATTTTGTATATTTCACATATTATGAATGAGAAAATTAAAATTACTAAAGAATATTTAAAGAAATAGAGTGAATAATGTGTTAATCGATAGATAGGTTTAAAACGCGCGACGCATACTGTAATGTACTACTATTACGGCATACCTAAACATACAAGTAAATTTGTCCTTATTTTATAAGTATTAAAAGTATAAAAATTTATTTAAAATTAATTATTTATTAATTTTTTTTAAAATTAATTATTTATTAAAATGTATTTATAATTTTAAGTAGAATTGTAATTAAATTATAACATTTTTATTAAAATAATAATTAACTTAAGTAATTTCATTTGTTTAAAATTAAGGTTTTTAAATTATATAAGTTAGAACCGGCCATCAGCACCAGTCTCTGTTGGTAACCACCTTAATTCGTCGAAAAATAAACTGTTACAACACCCAACGTTTTCGTTTGTCGTCGTTCAATAACAAAAAGTGGATAAATCACACGTTTAGTGCCTAAACTATTATTTTTATTTTGTTTTAGTAACTCTACTTTTAATTTTTTTCAAAACCATACCTATCGTTTACTTTTTGTTTCATTTTAGTATCACGCTACTAAAAATTTAATAGGACAACTGAGGTGGTATTTTTCTATTTGGGTAAACTACACAGTTTATCATTCAACTATCTTCTCACTCCTATTTTGATCACTAAAGTTTAAAAAAAATGAATTTAATAATTAAACTTTTGAATTACTTCTATTTTGATCATCTCTAATGATGTGGACTATATTATTATAATTTTTAGTATAATATGATAAATTAATTAATATTTAATATCAAATAAGATTTAAACAAATAAAAATAAAAATTTATAATTTTAATCTAACTCTTAATCCCCAATCGTCGATCCAAACCCCAACCCCACGAACATCACCCTCCGACCATCACATAAGAATCCATTGAAATTTTTTTTGTGAACCGGAAACAAATGAACACAGAGAAACAAATTTAAGTGTCAATGATACAACAACCACCATCACCCTCACAAAGACAAGTTAAAAAAATGTAAACATTGTTCAATGTCCATTGTTGAAACAACAAAAAGCTCAAATTATTTTATATAAAAACAAAAATAGCAACAATAAGGGAAAACACATGAAGTGGATGAGAAAGAAGTCGCCATCCATGCTTCTTCATTTTCTCTTAAAATGTTACAGTTCCAGAAAAAGTAAAACTAAAATAAAGAAGACATAAAGAGTATAAAACAAAAACAAAACAAAAAATCTAGATTTCTGCTTATACTTATTTTATTGCACTTTCACTCATTTTCCAGACAAAATTAAGATAACACGTTTCACTATATCACCAATCAAACAAAAGCAGCATCACCTCCTTTTTACTTTTACGGACCTAATCATAAAATCAAAATGAAAAAGGATAAAAAAGAAGAAGAATAAGAACATGATGAAGATAGGTATGGACTGCAAGGTTATTTTTTCATTTATTGTATAGTTTCACTTAATCGTATCAATGCCTCATGCAAGGTAAGAGAAGGAAATGAAGAAGAAAAAAACAAGGGCTAGTATGAGTTTTTGGGTATTATTTGTTTCATGAAGATGAAGTTAAGGATGAGTTTATATTGGTGTTGTGGTTTGGATATTTAGGATTAAAATTAAGGATTTTGATTTTAAATTTTATTTGACATTAATAATAATAAATTTTTGTCATACTAAAAATAATAATAAAATAATCCACATCATTAAAGAGAGATCAAAAGACAAGTTATTTAAAAGTTTAATGATTAAATTGAAAGTTTTTAAATTTTAGTGACCATAATATAAGTGAGAAGATAGTTGAGTGATGAATCGTATAATTTTTCCAAATAAAAAACACCACGCAAGTTGTGCCGTTAACTTTTGAACTGTGGGGTACTAAAATGAAAAAAAATAAACATTATGTGTGATTTAAAAAAATGAAAATTGATGTACTAAATCGGAATAAAAGTGATAATTTAAGTACTAAACATGTAGTTTACTCTAAAAAATTATAATTTAATTATAATCCTATTAAATTATAGTTAAATTTTAATAAATGATTAATTTTAAATAAATCTTTATAATTTTTAATATTTACATAATAAGGATAAATTTACTTGTAGTTTATTTCGGTATGTTATTTTAGTGGTACGCTACGGTATTCGACGTGGGCTATAGAATTTTTTGTTAATCTATAACTTTTTTAGTGAAATCTGTCAGTGTATTTAAGTGAAATAATGTCATATATAGTGGGAATTGAAACAATAAAATATAATAATATATTTTATTAAAAAATGTATTTATTTAATTATATTTATAAATATATTATATGAAACAATTCGTTGGATGTATATATTAAAGATTAGGTGAGTTTTCATGTTCATGTTGGTGATGCGGGGATGATTTTAATTTTTTTTTGGATAAGTAAGATTTTTATTATTCAAATAAGAGGAAAGTACAGAAATTTCAATCAAGGATCAAAGACTAGCTATTTACAACAAAAGAATGGTTAGCCTATTGTAACATCCTCCATGCCGGGTTAGTGATTAATTTGCAAAGTTTCAACATTTGGTGATTAAAGTAGAACAATTATATGGTTTAAAAATAAAGGTTGGTAAATATGAGATTAAGGTGAGGACCAAATGGTCATTTGCAAGGGGAATTTTTAATTAAATAAAATGCTATGGGGTATATGAGAACACGTGTATTCCAGAACCTCCCATTTCTTCTCCCTTCTTCCTCATTTTCTTCTCTTCCTTCTCTCAACGTTGGGCTTGCATTTAAGGTAAGAATCTGAACTTGATAGTTTCTTTGATGTTTTATGATTGGAAATGAAAGCTTGGATGTTATATAAGCTAAAGGAAAGCTTATATGACATTAAAACAACAAGATTAGGGTTTTAGAGAT